TGCCGGAGCGCCAAGTTTACATTACTAACACAATAGATGGCGCTAGTGTGTCCTCTCGTTGTAAAAGATAATAGGTTCCAAGGCGCCCGGCATTAAGAGGTCGCAATTGTGTGAACGGGCCTTTAGGTAGAAATTTATAACATTTACCGTGAGCCGTGTATTTTAAGAATGAATTTTTGAGCGTGCGTCCCCATATTTTGGCGCTGCTCTTCTTCCTCACGTGGACATCTGCGGAGAGCTCAAAAACCCTGACCACCTATATTTTCATTCCCAAGAATTGTAGCGAGCTTTCTTGTGTAATCATCGAGACGAATAAAAACGTACTGTAGTCAAGAAGTTGAACTCGCCGCCCTAGAGATATCCCCTTTTGCTTGTTTGGTATGTACTTATACAAGATTATCTTATCAATCGTGACTGCTGGCCGGCAAAATGGTTAAAAATGCCTTTGTTGCCTGTGGCTACAAACATTGCCTTATTTCTTATGTTAATTTGATAAACGCGATTTCAATTATCTAGTATTTAATTATATTTATATTTTTACTAGCGCAACCTTTTGTGGATTTGTTGTTTCCTTTTTGCTGATATAAACATATATCTCGGGAATAACGACCATTGTGAGCCGAATAATTGAAGCAACTTCACCTGAGAAATTTACTTTCTTAGGAAATTGCTTTATAGTGCTTACAATTAAGGTCTTGAAGAATTCCTTTCTTTTCGAAGCTCCGCCAAATCTTGTTATCGCTTCGGGCTACATCACTAAGCTTTTCCATTTCTGTTTTTGTGCTTATTGTCTCGCCCTTTTCATTAGCGAACGTCACCGACAGGTCGGAAGACGATTGCCGACGTACCCGCAATTAAAGAAACTCCCCGCCTTCTTCTAATCAGGGGCTTTGTTCCACACATATCGTTTTAGTTCTCGAAAAGAAGGTTCGATTAAGTGGAATTTTATTTTGAGGATTTTCGAAAGCGATTTCTATGTCGGTGGCAGTATTAATTTATTTTGGTTTTGCAAGTGTTTTCCCGGTTGAGACATCCAGAATGCCCAACAGTATAATTTTTCTGAGGTTCTTTTCGTCCTAGTTCTATAGGACTATGTTCGCATCATGCTAGTTTTCAGTAAAAAACATTTCCGATTTTAAAATACTCGCACGACTGGTATTCTTAAATTCTACTCGTGAACTCGCGACGCAAATAGAAATCGCGCTGTAAGTTAAAAAAATGCAAAAAAATTTTTATAGCATTTTGGAATATAATAACGTTTCATTTATGATCACGACCTTTGTGCATTAAAGAAAATTACCACGGTTTATATTCTCTAGACTGGTGTTTGGCGAAAACGGAAGACCAAGAGAAATGAGTCCAAAAGCACTTTTATTTCACAATACAATTTTTTTATTCCTCATTTTGCAAAATGAAATGTACCAAGTTCAAGCGTGGCGAAGGTACCACTTACTTGCATCACTTCTTCGCATCTGCGTCCGGGTGTTTCCCTACGGTTGTCAAATTTTTACTCCGTGACGTCAGCTCCACACATGTCCGCCAACAGTGCCAGTCCGAAATACCCCAACAACAAAACTTGAAGATTGTTTTGATGTAGATTGCTGGAAGGGTTTAATGAGCCGCATACAGTGATTAGACCGGGTCCTTTGACGGTGTGATCAGTATATGAAGTTAGAAGCCTTGAAACATTTTTTTACAAGCATGGTGCTATTCCAGAAGACAGTTCATAATATGAATATGTAATTTAGAGTCTCAGCAAATATTGTGAAAACTTTTATTACAGGTAACGTTAATTTTGTACAAATATTGCACCTAGAAGAGAAAACATTGGTTTTACACCTTTAAGAAACTGTTCTCTCTGACCGTGTATTAAAATACTTAAGAATAAGACTATAAAAAGTTTTAATCAAGAATAGGTTTGGGGTTTTGAATATAATAAATGGCATTATAAGAACGACAGGCTGGGGACAAGCTCCTTGTAGTTACGTCACAAGTGAGCTTCAGAATTCTATTAACTTATTAACCGAGCCGCTTTCAGAGATAACTACGTTCACCTGTGAAATAATGTTTGCCAATATATACAGTCATCTTGGATGACCGGATGGTAATATTGGCCAATTAAAAGATATGACATAGCTTTTTCTTTTTAAAATCATAAAGAAGCAAACAAAATTGTGGGATCTAAGCGATCGCGGTTTTTTTAAATAGTTCTTATTTTCTTTCAGCCAAAATGCGCTGGCTTACCGAAAAGAAAAAAGCCAAACCCATAGCCGGATGTAAAATGCGTCAGAATCACTTCAAACTCAATATGCTAAGTAGAAGCACTTTCCGAAAGAATAAATATAGACATATAAAAAAGACACTAAATGTTGGAATTATGCACGCTCTTAAACGTCTTCGCTAAGTGAAACATTAAAAGTTCTTAACTTTGGTAAAGTTGTTGAAACATATGTCCTCGTCTGTGCCGTTTTCTTTTTTTAGTAAGTTTCTATTGAAATATCAAATTTTGAAGATATATAGAGAGAGCGCATAGTGAACTAGACCCATTTTTATGGCGTACAAACGGGTGTTTTTATGTGTTTTTTTTTAAGTTCTGAGTGTAAAGACAAACGTTCTGAGGAAGCAATGAGGCACACTTTAAGCTTTAACTTTAAGCTTTAACAGCTTGCTCATGAAGAAGGTGGCTAATTTTGTGATATGTTTTCGTTTGTGTCTTATATGACTTTACATATAGTAAATTATGATTAACAATTTTAAGATTAAAGCCACTTTATGATAGAAATATATATTTCCAAGATTAAAAAGGGACGAGGTTGCTTATACTTTGTCAAATGTCAGGAAATGCACGGTGACCGCCGCAATTTAATACCTTAATTTGAGAAAAATGTAAAACAATATGTAGAGTATAATGGTAAATGTAAAAACCACTCACCTGGTTTTTTCTGATAATATGGAAGTATGCCATTTTGTTCGTTTATTATATACCATGGAAGGACGCACCAACAACAGTTAACTCCTGCATCGTTCAACATATCCTGGTTGCTTCGGTTGCAACCATTGAATATTAAGTGTTCTTTTTGGGTTGACTGTCACTTTTTGTGCCATTTAATATTTTATAAGCTTGTATCTTAGCTGCACAATTGTTTTGACCTGTTTAGATATTATTCCCCTGAGATAATTATTATTTATAGGTTTATAATTTTTTACAATGTTCCTAAGATAATTTATTAAAGTATACATACGTGACTCCAGCCAAATAACGCAATGCAAATGCGACTTATCAATAAAATGCGACATTTTGTACATTTCTAAAGCTGTCTACTTGCGAAGCTTGAAAACTTTATACAGAATCGAGTTACGTGCTTCTTTATCAAAAATTCAAAATCAAGTGCAGAAAGTTTTCGTCGTGGTTCAACACTGCCATCACACACATACACACTTGAAGTGACATTCACGGATTGGTAAAGCAAGCTTAGCAAGCTTTGTTTAAGTAAGTACGCTTAAATTTACAACGTTTACAAATGGTTATTAGTTCCAACGCAGGAGACGCCCAGCGTAGAACGTCGATGCACCACGCCACCCGGAAGCTGTTTCTTGTTGCACGCGTCCCGGAACGCGCGGCGCCGAAACGTACCGCTCCGGCTTTCTTTTTTGTTGTCACTGTAGCTCAGGGGCAACAGGTGCACCCCCTTAAACAGGTGGCTGTGGTTACTTGAGTGGAATTTATTTTTTCCTCTGCGTGTTTTGGTGTGGCGTTCGGAGGATGGACTTTGTTAAATCGAAGGAGAAGAAAGTCGGTTTTAGACCGTGGATTGTAAAGGTTTCGCGTTTGCCTCGAAGCAACAAGGTATAATAGTTTGATCATTTCTTCCAAGGTGCATCCTTCCTGATGAAAGCATGTGTAGCCTCAGCAAGTGTAGGATGTTGGAAAACATTCCGTTTCCTTTGTGGGCGTGATAGAACGGGGCGAAGCTTTGATATTGCTTGCATTAACTTCCGGACGTAGGATGCGGGATGTACGTATGGTTTGTTTTTTTTGTGCATCATGATGTCTACGATTTCATCCCCTTATGTTTTACTTGTCTAGGTATGTAGGCATTTATGTGATGTATGTATGGCGTGTTGCATGTATAGTGTGTTATTTATGCTGATTCACCAGTTATAATATTTGCATTATCATTACTTGATTATTACTTGACCCGGTATATATATTTTTGTGTGTTTATGTCTGTATTATTGTCACTCTACCTCTTCGTCGGTTAGACTTTAAATATTCTGCTATGGTTAGAGTGATTATTTAGTTTGAATTTTATTGTGTACTCTATGTCAAGTGCTGGGGGGCAGGGGCCTGTCAAGCTGCAACTGCAGCTTTTTTCCCTGCTCTCCACACACCTTTTGAGTAAAAAAAACGATTATATTATATTATATTAACTTGGGGACGTATGATGCGGGATCCACGCCCTCTGGTATAGCGGGTGGCTCGATCATGTCCGCAGGCAGACGGAGCCGAGCACCGTAGTTGAGGCCAGCCACCCTACTCTCAAGGTCAGGTTTAAGCGTTGAACGCTACCCAAACAGCAAGTTGTCAATCTAGGCATTGGTACACGACTGCATACGAAGTGCTGATTTTATCTGCTTACGAAGGCGTTTCACGATCGGGCCGTTTGCTACAGGATGGTAAGATGTTGTGCGCGTTCGGGAGCAGCAGAGAAGAGACGTGAGTTGGCGGAAGAGAACGAACTCAAATTGGCGTCCTCGATTGGTCGTCACCGTGGAAGGTACTCCGAAATGGCTTACCCAGGTGAATATAAAAGTTCTGGCTGCCTTCTCGACTCTTATGTTCTCTGTTATATATGTGACGAAAGCTATCGCCACCTATGTTGCGACATTGTGTTCAAACTGGACACTGGATCAGATGAGAACCTAATTTCAACGGGGCAGTCCAGAAGGTGCCGGATCCCCCACCATTTAACAGCCCTGGTGCCTGTGTGACCACTTACACCGGTGAGCCGTTGCCACTACGTGGAGAGTGCTTTCTAAGATGCAGCGTAACTGGCACATCGGTAACACTGAAGTTCTGCATAGTTGGCATATCAACTGCTGCCATCTTGGGTTTGGATGCTTGCCGGGAGCTGAAGCTAATACAACTCAACAAACTCAACTACTGCAACTCGTTTCATGGCACTGCAGGAAGGGATGACACACCAGAGTGCATCACTGATGAGTACAAGAATCTCTTTGGAGAAGGAACAGGTCGTCTCCCTGGAGAGTTCACAATAACTCTAAAAGAAAATGCACAGCCAGTCATTTTGGCACCCCGAACGATCCCATCAGCCATGGAAGACAAGGTCAAGCAGGAACTGCAGCGCTTGGAAGATGAGCATTCGATTGCTAAGGTCACTGAGCCCACTGACTGGGTCAGCCCGATTGTCATCGTAACCAAGATAAATGGCTCTATGCGGATTTGCTTAGACCCGCTTAAACTTAATAAAGCAATCAAATGTCGCCGCATTGCCAAATGCCAACGTTTGCAACTCTCCTCTCAAAGTGACGTGGATCAATGGTGTACACTCTACTGGATGTTTCTCATGCCTTTCATTACATGCAGCGTGGTGATGCAAGTTCCCGACTGTGCACTTCCGCCACACAATTCGGACGCTACCGGTTTCTGGTCATGCCTTTTGGACTGAGCTGTGCCCCTGGGATGTTTCAGCAGGCAATGGACCAAGTGTTTGCGTCAGAAGAAAACATCAACCCGTAATTCGACGAATCCTAATTGCGTCCAAGTCCATGTTTGACCATTGCAAGCAACTGCGAAAGGTGCTTGAAAAAGCCCGTCGCTCAAACTTAAAGCTCAACAAGGACAAACTGAAGTTGGCAGTGTCTGAGGTGATTTAACATGGTCATGTGCTGACTGCCAAGAAAATCGAGCCAGATACTGCCAAGCTCAAAGCGATTGCGCAATATCCTCAGCCAACCAACCGACAAGATCTTCAGCGCTTTCTGGGCATGGCTACTTATTTGACGAAGTTTGCCCCACAGCTAGCTCAACGAGCCCATCAACTGAGTCAACTGTTACGGAAAGACACTCCTTGGGTCTGGGACGCAAACACACAGGGTGCTTTGAAGAAGTGAAGAAATCACTCTCTGAAACTCCTATTCTTGCATTCTTCGATGCAACCCAGAAGACAACCGTGTCGGTCAACGCCAGCTCTTGCGGATTGGGAGCTGTGCTGCGACAGCGAGGCAAGCCAATCGCTTTTGCATCTGCAACACTGTCAAGTGCTCAACAGGAGTACGCCCAAATCGAAAAAGAACTGTTGGCCATTATGCACGGTGCAGAACACTTCCACTATTTTCTGTATGGACGCCCTTTCGAAGTGGAGACTGATCATCGACCTCTTCTCTGCCTGGTGCAAAAGCCATATGATGTGGTGTCTCCCAGACTCCAACGTCTCTTACTACGACTACAGCCGTATGATGCACAACTCATCTTGTTGCAAGGAAAAGAGCTCGTCGCAGCTGACGCATTGTTCAGAGCTCCTCTGACCTCCGGCTCAGTTGAGACATCATCGGTGGACACCCGTCAGTCAGTCTGCCCGTTCGTTGGAGCCTCGTGTGAAACCCTAAATCTCATCAGAGTGCAAACAACCGCCGATCCAACCCTGGAGCGTGTGGTCAAGTATGTCGAAGACCGCTGGCCAGAAAGACATGAAGTACATTCATCAGCACAGAGGTCTTGGGACTGCAGGGAAGAACTTTACTTGGGAGAAGGATTACTCTGTCGAGGACTCCGCCTTGTGACTCTGGAAGCCGGTCAACCAGCAGCACTCAAGAAACTTCATGTGGGGCATCATGGAAAGTCAGCATGCAAAGCTCGGGCTCGAAAAGCACTTTACTGGCCAGGAATGACACAAGATGTGGAAGACATGGTAAAGTACTGCATCACATGTCAGCTCCACATGCCCAGAAACCACCACCAACCGCTAATGGAGATCCCGCTGCCATCTCTGCCATGGCAGAAAATGGGAATTGACATCTTCATCTTAATGGAGCGTCATACTTGCTTGTAGTCGACTACTACTAAAAGTATGTCGAAGCAGAAAGACTTTCTTGAACTGCTGGTCAACCTGCCATCAGCAGTCTTAAGAAAATGTATGCACGCTTTGGGATCCCAAACAGGATCATGTCCAAGAACGGTCCTTCCTTTGACTGCAAGGAATTCGCAGACTTCAATGCCTCATGGTTACACCGGACATCATCGCCCGGCTACCCTCGATCGAATGGGCAAGGAGAGCGAGCAATCAAGACGATCAAGGACACACTCTGCAAGACAGGACAGTCGGGTGAGGACCTGAACATGGCCCTCCTCACCTACTGCTCAACGCCAACATCCACGCTGCCATCTCCAGCAGAAATGCTTATGGGCAGAAAAGTTTGCACACTGCTTCCAGTACATCCGAAGCTACTGATTCCAGACTACCCTACGAAAGCCCACCAGCAAGGATTTGAAGCTCGTCAAAAAGAACAGCACAAGCATGGAGATCAGCACACATCCACACTAAAGCCACTGAAACTTGGACAGCAAGTCTGGTTCTGGCTGAACAACAAATTGACACTGGGTGAGATCGAAGCATTGGGTCCAGAGCCGCGCTCGTTCATCGTACAAGGGAACGGTGGCGGCATATACCGCAGAAACCGCTACCGCATAAGAAAAGCACACCTGCCAAAAAGGAATCGAGACGCATCACCCCAAGTGCAACGGAGTGTGGAGGATCTATGTCCATTGTCTGACTTCGATGAAGACTCCTCCCGGGCAGCGAATGCACCATGTGATACCAGCAGACGACCGACAACCTCAGTTCACACACGTTCAAGAAGACAAGTGCGTCCTCCAAACAGCATGAACTTGTAAAAAACAAGAAAAAATGAGCGTGCTATATACGTAACGAAAGCTAGAGCCACCCATGTTGCAACACCATAGATCTGGTGTTGTGTTAGCCCTACTGGTAACTCGTTGCAGACGCAGCCGGGCGCCATTGCAACAATAAACAGCATGTTATGTTTCAAATCCAGCTCCGTCTTGTTAATCCAAAACTCTAAAAGAACCCACGCATAACATTCTTGAGTGGGTAAACATTAGGCCAACGGAAGAAACGATCAACGCAAGTCAATAAATAGGTGAAACCGCCCGGGGGGGGGGGGGGGGGCGATTGGGTCCGACATTGTCCACGTGCGCCTGTTCGAAACGTAGTGATGGAAGGGGAAACGCTCCGAGTGAGCGTTCATGTGTGTCGCTGTACTTTGCAATGTTGGCAGTCAAGACAGGAACATACACAATTGCGAACGTCGGCCTTGACTTTAAGCCACACAAAACGGTTCGTAATCAGTTTGTACGTTGCACGGACACCTGGATAGCATAGCGGGTGTAGCGACGTGAACATAGAACCACGCAAGTTTTCTGGGACGTAAGGTCGTGGGGCTCCAGTCGACTTGGCTCAAACGGGGATGACGCGGTGATATGGGAAAAATATGTCTTCGAATATCAGTGAAGTGCCGGCTTCGCGGATGAATTGAAGCCCGTCGTCATCTGTTTGGGCCTCTACAAGCTCAGAATAGGTAAAATGCGTCTTCTCCGTAGCGATAGCGTTTAGGTTCAAACGAGACAGTGTATTGGCAGCAGTCTAGTCTTGTCTTTTCACGTGGTGCAAGTCAGTTGTGAACTCTGCGATAAAAGAGATGACGGAACCCTCGCGGAGAGAGGTTCAGACTGACCGACTGAATAGCATGGACGACCGATTTGTGGTCTTTCGTGATGAAAAAATTGCGTCCCTCTAAGAGGTGTCGGAAATGCTTTATAGTCAAGTTGGCAGCCAGTAATTCTCTACCAGAAGTGCTGTAGCGTTTTCCAGTGTCTTGCAGCTTTCTGAAGAAGAAAAAGATGGGAGACCAGATGCTGTCGATCTTCTGCTGCAAAACGGCCCCAACAGCTACGCTAGAATATAATAATAATTCGTTTATTTCTATCAACATTGGTGATCGACCTTGAGGGAAAAAGCTGGGAAATACAGGTTGACAAGGCCCTCGACCCCCTACATCGGCCGACAGCAGAGGTGCATAAAAAATGCTACTTCATGCGAATGTACAAGATGGGTGGCTAATATACGAGCACAACACACATAATAAAGAAGATTGAATAATCCTGGAAATATCAAACAAACAGCCAGATCGCTGGTATTTTTTTGACCTATCTAGGTTTACAAAATATTCTATAAGTTGCTTAAATTACATTTTAGTCAGATCCAACTGACTAGCATCAAAGTGGTTGAGCAATTTAGGCAGCGTATATCTAATCATCTGAGAGCCGTAATTTGTGCTCCCTGTTACCATCTCCCAACGTTCTGCGTGACGAGTGGGGTAAACCGGTTCCTTCACAAATAAATGGGCCGAATTTGTAAGAAAACGCGTGTTTTTGTTGCTGTTCAGCTTGAATATTTATAAGTTTATAGTTGTGTAAATTGTGCATATTATTAATGCGGAGAGCCATGAACAGAGCAGCTGTATGGGAGTCAGGCGAGACGCCACCTGTAGACCTCAACACCCTTTTTTGTAATTAAATTATGTTCTCAAGATTCAATAACGTAGCTGAGGACAAGTTGGCAGTAACTTAAGTGGGTATAAAAGATTGGATTCTTGATTAGTACTTTCACATTTTTAGCAAAATTGAACGATGACGGTATGCAGATCCAGCTATTCCTGACAGTTTAGGAATTATAAAATTAGTGTGGTTGTCCCAAGACATATTTTTAGAAAATAAATGACTTCCAGTACCCTGAAATGACTCAGAATCTCAATTTGAGCTGAATTTAGAGTGATATCTTCGTGTTAGTCTGACCGATTTTTTTTTTTTTTTTTTTTTTTGGTGTGAAAAAGTACAGCTTTTGTTTTGTTTCTGTTTATTTGTAATGACATCTCCAGACTCCGAATTTCAAGATGCGACAACGTCAGATTTCCAATTTTGCAATGTCTACTTGCATTTCACAGTCCTCTCCCGAAATAAGTATAGCTGTATCGTCGGCATAGCTTACAGATTTGACATTTGGGTTA